TTTTTTTTTTTAAATATATATTCATCATATATTCAGTCTCACAATCCTATCCTTTTCTAGTCTCCCCCACAGCCGCTTTCAGTGTCGTCACGCAACGTTTTCTCCCCACTCAGGGGAGAAAGCGTTGCGTGACGACACTGAAAGCGGCTGTGGGGGAGACTAATCCTTTTCGAGATCGTTAACAGTTTTCCTCTAAATGTCGGCGAGCGTAAGCAGAACTTTTCAATTTTGATACAGCTTCTTATTTTTTCAAGCAAACCAGCTTGCTATCGTTATWCGTTACGTCAATTTTTGTTCAGTTCAACAAACCTCGAGCTTCACGTGTTTCAATGTCAAATAATATGCAAATAGCGTATTGACGCGGTATGTTGTGTCGCACGTTATGTTGTGCCGTGTGACATAGTGCACCACGTGACTATATATATACTAGGTCATGTGATTGAGTCACACGTGTCTTGCTCATTCCTTATTCATTATTAATATACAAAAGCGAGCATGATTTGATAAATATATAATTATAATATAATTTTTAAAATAATCATACGAAATGATATTGAAATATAAGACCTCTTAAATTTGAAAAACGATCGTCTTAAAAAACTCRCCCAGCGTTTGCTGTGTTGTCGAACAGTTAAAATCTATTTACAATATAATATGATATGATATATACAAATATATGAACATACAGCTATATGCAAAACTGTTTGGTCATTTTAACCCCCACCCCTCCCAAAAGGTAGTGTATATACAGTCCTTTGACTAAACGTTGTCGTTGATCGGATCACTCCTACACGCATAGACCGAAAAGGATAACGGGTAAATTACCCAGAACTTGCGTCATCCAAACTGCTCGCCAGTTTAAATCTTCGCCATATGCTCAAAGCATAGTTTTAGCAAATTAAATGGGATCGAAAACAGCGAGCTCAAGACGTGTTAGATAACATATGAGACAGCTAGCAACTCTGAATGAGTTATCCCCATGATCCTGTTTGGTCTAGGTGCGTAGGGATGTTGCTGATCAAACAACAAGGTTTAGTCAAAAGACTGTATACTACTCTTCCCAGAAGAGAAGACCGAGGCAGATTTTGTATCGCCTTCGCAGCGTCCGTTATTTTAACCACAAGAGACCGCAAGCGCATTCCAAATCGACCACGTGATCCAATGTTATACCAAGTGGGCAAGTTCTTTTTTATTTTTACACCGCGTGATGAAAACTAGACTTGAACTTCGACCACGTGGTGTAAAAAACTTTGGCATTACGCGGTTAATTTGAAATGCACTTGCGGTCTTTAGCGTTTAAAATAACGGATAAATGGATAACATTATTGACAGTGATAAATATTTTCTTTTTAGTTATATTATTTAATGAACTTTTACAGAATGGGCAGTCGGTAAAGATTTTTTCCCATTGTTACATTAGCCAATGTTCCTTCGAACACTCTTGGCGGTGGCCAAAATGAATGCGGGCCCAGGAAAAAYGAAAAACTGCAGGTCACATTATTAAGTACACCGYWTATCCTGAAAAGGTTCATATCTATTATCTTACTTACACATCACAGATATTCTTCCATCCACGCTTGATCCGAAACGTGCCGTTAGCATAATTTGTTTTCGGGTCCCATTYATAGAAGTATTCGCCCTTAAAGAAGTAGAAAACCCCGTTGTCCAACCATCGGAACGCTGTATCCACGTTGTTCGGAACACCGGGCCATTCCACCGAGATCTTCCTCGGGTAACCAGTGGCAACCTTATCATTCTTGTTGTCAAACTTATAGCACAAGTCTCCCTTGAAGAAATAACTGATATCGTCGTCTAACGTAAGGGCTGCATCGATGTCATTTGGTACACCTGGCCACCCGATAGAAATCAGCCTTGGGTATCCTGTGTCTACTCTGTCATCTTGTTCATTGTAGCGGTAATAGTAAGCTCCCTTAAAAAAGTAGATTTTCCAGTTATGACCCCAGAGGAACATTTCATCGATTTGGTCAGGAACCCCGTACCATTTAGAAATTGGTTGCGGGTATCCCGTAGCGACACGGTCCTTTAGGCCGTCGAATCTATAGTAATTGTTATCTTTGAAGATGTACGTTTGGACATAACGCATTGAGGACTCTATGCTTCGGATTCTGAGAGGATTGCATAGACCTGTAACGATAATCAAAATAACGACATAGTCATTTTTAGAAGCAAGGTCGGGGATCTGGGGAGGGGGAGGGGTAGGGGGAGGAGGGGAGGTAGGCGTTTAAAGAATCTTTGATGGTATGATGTAATCGGAATGAGCAGCTAGTTCTGAATTTTCATACTATTATTATAATTCAAAAGCTGTGCTAAGCGCGCGAGCTAGTGAATATTTTGTAGTGACCTAGATATGCAGTTACACGTGACAACTTTAGCAAAATTATTTTCCAATTTTTTGGAGCAAAAAAACTGAAACTTTCATCAATCGACCTTTAGTTTGGACGAAAGGTTTTCCCAATTCAGAAAAGATGTCATTCTCTTACGGCTATGTCATAAGTCTTCATGTRTCTTTTCGTGCGCAACCGAAAAAAGAAATGATACCCTAGGGAATGACACGTGGTCCGAAATGGGGAAAGATTGTGCGCAGTTTTTTTGGCGAGAATTGTAGCGATTTCCGAGTGTCTCTCTCATGCAACCTGAATGTATCGTAATATAATGTCTCGTACTTTGGGAGATTTGATGTTTTGATCAGCAGATATGACATTAGCAGAACTGACATTGCCATGAATATCTCCAAGTAGCTTTAATCTAGTTCAACAAGATTTTGTCACAACTTTGGAGCAAAACTGAAACAAATGAAAGGCTTATCACTCCCAGTTATATAAAAAAATCGTAAAAATTGCACCAGAATRGTTAGCGTGTAAACGCGGCCCCGCGTGCTTGACTTTCTCATGTCGCCTCATGCTTTCTCCTCCACCCCTATTACTCAAAGTATGCAAAGCGCTCCGATCTTACAGTGGTTCGATATCGATAACATTCTATACACTCGACCTTGTCATCGAGTTGGTAACTTAACACGTTAAGTAAGACATCCATCGAGACATACCGAGAATRCATTTATACCAATGCACGTATCGAGCTACACATACTGCCTTCATAACAAACAGCGAAGTTCATTCACTAATTAAATAGAGGTCAACTACTGTCAAATGCGTACCTTCATTAAATCAAGCCTCTTTATATTCGTATTTAAAATAATATTAGGAAGTTCTTAGGTCCCGTCCACACTATGCCGGATAAATTTGAATCCGAATTTTTATTTATTCAGTTCCATTTCGAAAATTAGTTTTCGGTGAAGAATTGTTCCGGATTCGCCCGGACTAGTGTGGACGGTAGGCCTAACCGAATAAATAAAAGTTCGGATTCAAATTTATCCGGCATAGTGTGGACGGGGCCTTACATAGCATTTTTCATACGTCTCATGCGATTTAGAATCTTAAATTTTCAGTGGAAAACTATTCAGTGTCTGTCATGCAGCAAACAATCATGAGTAATCAGTATATACCTCCAACAGGAATAGGCAATCGGGAGACAATCCCCTACTGTTATACAAATAGTCCAACATGTTTAATATCCCCAAATACTGGTTAAAGGAAGACTTGGGAGACAGGGCCTACGGTTTAACGTCCTTTTCCGAGATGAAATAAATATTGATAGTTGATAGATTTCCTTTTTTTTTTTTTTTTTTTTTTTTTTTTTTTTTTTTTTTTTTTTTTTTTTTTTTTCGCATTTTTTAAAATAGTTAACGGTTAAACGTAATTTTTCGAGATGGAATAAATATTATTAAAAAAATAGCAATTTTTGTGCAAGTGCAAGTGCAAGTGCTTGGTCATGGCACTAAAAATTCGTYTAAAAAAGTGAAATAAAAAGACAGTTTTTCCCCTGAATCAGTATGAGACCGACACTTGCATCACATATATGATTTGATAAATAATATATTTAATAGTCTTTAATCAAGACACAGTCATAGCTACCCATTCAAAAGTAGATGCATGGGCCTTCAGTACATACGTACATCAAGTATATTCCTTAAATGCATGGTCAAACCACACACGTTGCCTAAAAGCCCCACCGATACTGCAAATGACTATTTATGCTTTCACGGGTCGTGTGTTAAGCCGTTTATAAAGAAGTGATGAGATGTGAAATACATTTTTATTGACACCCTGTAACAAACTATGAGATGATCCAAGTAAGGGTAAGGTTAACTTACAGATTGAACCCAGAAACAACCTCTGGACAATTGCAATGCGTGGATATGGTTACTATAAGATACTATACTTACTATAAGATAAGGTATTTTCCCCACACATATAGTCACCTTGCACTACTAATTGCCAATTTGGGAGAAAAAACAAAACTTCCTCTCGCTTGAGGATTGAAATGTTTTATTTTATTTTAGACTTCAAATAGGGATTCAGTGCAAGGGGTCTATCAAAATCTTCTCTCTTGGAAACCGAAAAATATAACGATCATAGAGGCCATCGTAGGTTTTAGTAGTGTTAGCACTACACAGAAGTAGTATTTGTATCTCTATATACAGATGCTTGGAAATGTTTGTTGCGACTTTACGGCGAAATGCGTCTTGGTGCATGCCACGATACCAGGAAAAAATTATCAGAACATAACATTCTACTCCATTCTAAAGTTAGGATCCACCAGTGATAGGGATCGAGAGAGGGTTTAAAAACACATCGTACTGCTCTGCTGGTTTCGAGCTCTTAATTGCTCAGCGCTAGCCTTAATGTTTATTTTATCGTTGGTATTTGTGAATATTTTGACACTGTAATGCTGCTTAAACCTGAGTAAATGAGTCTGTAATCAAAGAGGACAGTGGTGACGTATGAATTCGAAAACGTTCTGTCGAAGATTGGGAAGCGAAGCTATGTTTCAAATGCTTGTGTAAGAGAAAACAAACTAGACTCACCATAGATAGCTTGCATGCCACTGATATCATCATCGCCTAGGTTATCCCCCAGGGTGGAATATACAGGATTCATGATGGATCCTGCTACAGACGAGTGATACAAACCAAGGCTGTGGCCAATTTCGTGAATAGCAACCTTGAACAGACTCCGGTGGGTGCTATCGCTTGTTCTTGGGGTCCAGGGCTCTGCGTCATCAAAATGGATGTCACCGCCGTATTGTGGATAATACGCATGCGCAAGCTCGTTTCCTGCTCCATCAAACGCTTTGAAGTCGCCATGGTAACCTAAAGAAACAAACAGTATCTTAAGTCAATGCGGGATTTCATATCGTGAGGGGCTAAGTACGAATTCAGTAATGTTGGGATAACACAGAGGAGGACCCCACTAGTATCCCAGGGGGCATTGCGACTGAGATATGACATTTTTTCACTTAAACAGCTAAATTTAATATTTTCGAAACTGCAAAATCAATTGTACTTAAGTAGAGTTTGTGTCATTCCTTTTAGCGGTATCTATTTGTAAATTCTTTCGRGATTGTAAAGATACTCGTCAGAATACTGGAGTACGTTTGGAGTAATTTCAGGTTCAGTACAGTTCCTACAACTGACTACTTTTATATGCCAAATTAGTCCAAGGTGTCTTCATCAAATGTTAAATCAACACCTTAGTATTAGTATAATTAGTTCCTTATCATACAAGAAATATTACAAGAATTGCTATCATTGATCTTCAATGACAACAAAAAAAACAAGCGAATCAATTCTTTTTTTAAAATGAATAAGAAGAAGTAAAATACAGCAAGTGATTTTGCTTCTCTCAGCCCGACCGAATTAGCCAATCAGCGAACATTTTGTTCCTAGCTCAATATTTCCTAGTTCCAGGTTTTCAGCTCGATAAACAACAGCGTTTACTCGAAATTAAAGAAAACAAAACTTATCCGCAGAAATATTCACCAAACATCTTTTAGAAATAGTATGTTTCGTTGCTGTTGGTGGAAAATATCTCGTGTTGACAAAACATAATGAAAATTTYGCTGTGACTAACCATGCATTGTGCGCCTAGATCCCAAATAAGTTGTTCCGTGATTGGCGACTGGGAGGGGTGAATCGCTGACCGCCAAGGAACGCAGGCTGTTTCTCGTTTTGATTACGAGAAATACCGATCTTGTTCGAATAATCTTTTCTGGTATACAAGAAGTGATAACTTAATAAAAGCGGATTTTGGTAAGAATCCGGAAAACCGTCTCGGATATGACAAAAATTTAAAGCTTTATAATACGGATATACAAGGAATAGCGARGGAAGTTCTATACGTTACACCGGATTTTGATGTCATTCAGCAAAGAACACCGCGTAAAACAAAGATATTCTTTCGCTTTGACCGGATTTCACACTTGAGTTTTAAAAATCCTTAAATTCATTACACTACAATACAAATGAAATGATTTACTGAATTCGTTAATTTTCAACGCAAATTTAATTAGATTTTTTAGCGGACGTCGTTAGCGACTGCAACTTGCTAATCCAATTGAGACAAAAGTCATTGAAAACGGCTCCGACATAAATTAAACCACTGCTATAAAGTTCTAGAACAAACTTTTCATTATAACTTTAGTTATGAGCTATTTTGAGTTCTATTTGAGCATGTCATGGCGGCTTATAAATGTTGGTATAAAGTTCTAATCTATTGTTCGGAATATATTAGGTTTTCTTGGCGTCCATGCTGTTTAAAACAATAGGAAATATCTTGGTTTTGGCAATAATGGCGGACAACGAGCCAAAACCGCAGAGATGAATGTAGAACAATACAATAGTAAAAATATAATGTTGGAAACAAGCCCTTGGCATGAAGTCCAGACGTAATTGTAATCGTATGAACCACAATGTAGGGAAATGTTGCGGTCAAAAATCACGTTAAAAACAATAAAATCGTCCGCCTTTTGTCGGCCATTTTCGTGAGAGTTTACAACGCGGCGCCTTAGCGCGGAAATGAACTTCTTTGGCAAAAAAAAATTATACAAATTTGGCAGAGAAAAAAATTTACTTTTGTTTCGAAAAAAAGATTACTTAAAATGTTTTCTCTGTCTATGGGTAATGCCCTTAAATTTGGATGTTTTTTTTCTTTTTGAATTGGTTAGAAAAAGTTAAGTTAAAAGGCTTGAGTGTATTTGGTTTTACAAGCACGTGAAAATTTAATCAAGCGACCAATGAGATTCGCGAAAAGCCTCGACGGCTCGATGGCCTTTCTTTGGCAAAAAAGTGCGTTTTCATTTTTCGCTGCTAAATATTTTTTGGCTCTTGGAGTAGGTGTAATTAAGAAATAAAGTTGGATTCTACAGATTGTTTGAATTCTACTCATACCTTCTTGAAAAAGAAATGAAATAAATATTCCTTGTATACTAACAGTAGCACTTCACTTGTAGCACTTCATAAGTTCAGTCTGCTAACAAATCTGTGGCCTTCCGTTAACGAATTTCTTTCACCAGTCTTCTAAGCCCCTTTTCAATCAAATATTTCAAGAATACTGACGGTCAATGCATTTATCAGTCTTTGACCTAAAATCATAAACTCTTCCTTGAATGATTTCAATATTTGATACTTCGTGAATTGGAATCATAATAGCAATAATTACTTTATGCCCAATAACCTGAGGAATCCACTGCATTTGTGAATGATGTGCATGATATTATGAAAGAAAACCTTCGTAAACAACCAATACTAAAATTACAGTACAATTCAGGATATATAAACGCGGTTGCAATAAAAAATAAATGAACGGTGAAATTCCGTAAAATGTACATTGTGGGGGTCGTAGTTTCGGCCAAATTAGATTACCTTAATTGGCCCCACCTTTAAGTTTTTATAATAAATCGACTGGAAATTCGTATCATCGCTTTAAAAAGAAACGCCACGTAGTTTTGTTACTGTTGCTATTTTCCTGGTATTTTAAAGCAAAATATAAAGTATTAAACTGCAGAAACAGTTCAAAATATTTCTGCAAAATATGCCGCTCAAGTAAACAAACTTTACCAAACTTTCACGGGCATTTTAAGCTATAAAAATTTCACATGATTTTAGTTAAATGTGTGTATTTTATGGCCGGATATTTAAAGGTTTTGGCTTTGGTTTTACTATGTGTTTGGAACCTGATTACAGTGCATACAATTTATTCCAGAAAAAACAATGTCAGTAATATAAAATGCTTCAAACTTAATAAAAATAGATAATTGAAAACGAAGATAAAAGATATTTATGAGGACAGTTAACTGAATTAGTTAATTAGAATGTGTAGTGTAAGATTTACAAACATTCCGACAAAGCTAAGGGTCCTTCACCGAGCGGAGAGTCTGTACCAGTTAGAGATGACGTCGATATAGTGAGCTTAGTCGTGAGCGCTGGCTTCAAAGCAACTGCTGCGATAACGGCAAAGGTTACGCTAGCTAGTAGATATCGCAGGAATTCAATGGATGAGTGCAATGAAAGAATGCATTTTATTCCCCCATAATGATGATCGTTAAGAAAGTTGCGCATTTTTTTCTTATCTTATCAATTTACTATATTTTAACGCATGGTTTTAACGGATATTGTGAAATGAATTGCATGCTTTTCGGCATTCAGTATTACACCTTTGAAAGTGGCGTGGTTGTATCGTACCTGGCGGGCCGTAGGACCTCGTGGTGTGAGCCTGATGTTACATGCTCCAACACAACACAAATCATATTTCACAACAGAGCTGTGTAAAATTCCGAATGGCAAAAACAAACCCACCTACTGTATTAATTTGTACTACACACGAAGATGAGTGTATTTGTAAGGCGCGCAACACAGAAATAGAATATATTTATTTTAATGATGTCTTAATATAATATCTTTAGAACTAACCTTGAGCAAATAGGATCGTAATATCAGCCAACGCTGAATTAGACTCATATCGGAAGACCAAAGGAGACACTTCTGCCCAAGATCTAAAAGCAGCTGCCAGCGTAGACTTGACAAGAGCAGACGTCATCTTGGTACTCCATTTGTTAGTGGGAATACTCCATTTGATGATGAACTTGTTCCATTTACTGCCTTGATGCACGTAACGCCTCACTCGTTTATGAACTCTCACACTCATTTTTCGTGCAATTTGCGTCATGAGTTCGTCTCTGTGAACGTCCATGTCCTTGAGCCCACAGCGCGGTTTTGTCATCACCTGTTTTGTGTCAACATCTAATCGACCGGTCAATTTTACTTGGCTAAAGGACTGTAGTTTAAATAAGGCTTTTTCGATTTCGTCTTGGGAAAAACCTGCCAGCGATCTTTCCTCGCGTTGGATTTTATCAGTAAAAACTTCGTCAAAAAGATTATTAATGTCGGTTAAATAATTCTCAGGCAATCCAGAGTGGATTTTGTCAGGGTTCTGTGATTTCACACCTACAGTGTTAGGAGTCTTCTTAGGCTTTAGATAGCCGTACTTCGTTAAATAATTCTACAAGAAAAGACATGATCATTTAGAAAAAGTTCTGTTTTGGCGATTAGTCGTACGTGCCCTAAAGCCGGTCATCGAATGATGACAAGTCTGTCTAGTTTACTCTAGATCTTATCTACGAGAGTGAAGTGTTGGAACATATTTATACATCTACTAACTGAATGAATGAACTTTTTAACTTACTATTGCTCGTTTGAGGGACTCTGAGAGCCCGGTCTGTCGAGTACTTGGCTGAGCTGGCCGGCCATGCGTTAGAACCAAAAGAAAAGAAAAGAAAACTATTATTTGAAATATAGTTAGAGCCATTCTACTATGAGTATTGCTAAGTGTTCTTAGCAACTTGTCTTGACTGAACTTCAGTGATCGTGACGCGTCAGATGCTAATCGTTATCTGAGAGTTTGCTTGTTTGATCGATTTACTATGTTGTGCCAGAGGAGGTTGACCAGTGGCACGTGACCTAATCGACCAATCACAATCACGATCACAGGCAACAAAAAATATCACAAGAATTTCATAGTCGTCGTAAATAATCATTACTTTCTCCTCATGTTACTTATCATAACCTCATATTTTTTAACTGTGGCATGGATTAATGACAGAAATTCCTGTACAACAACGTTCCCAGATAAGCCATATTTCTATGTAAATTTATAAATAACATTACGAGGTGATTGGCTTTCTTACGCTGACACTTAACGGTGAAATATCGTGCATCTTTAACGCTTGTCATCTGGTTTTACGATCGATAATATGTCTGTATTTATAGATATTCTGAAGCTTTAATTCCTAATGATCAAAAATATCGAGGTGAACCTCTTACTTTTTCCGAGTTATTCTGAATGTTGTGCATGGTACTGTCACCTATCAAGCATATCTTGTCAAGATGGCGGGAATTACCCGCGTAACGCTACTATCCTCATTCACATGAAAACAGTACCACTAAATCGTTAAAGACATGAAATCGTAATTTTGCTATAATTTTATTTTATTGATTTTTTATTGATTTAATTGGAAAATGTATCGGCAGAATACTGAGAATTGTCAGAATCTGAGACTTGTCATCGACCTCACAAGTCAGCCGTTGTTCAAATGCGTTACTTTGTGTGCTGTTACTATCTTCATCTACATTTTCGTTCACTGTGTCTGTCTCAATTTTGAGGAATTGTTCCTCTTTCTGGAAACTTAGAACAATTGCAGTTACAATTTCTAATGTCCAACCAAGGCACTTCAGCGTGTGGATCAGACCCCTAATATTCAGTCAGTGGCGGTAAAGCAGTCAGTCTGATCTTCAATCAGTCAAAGTTCCAAATAGTCAAAGTTTTCCTGTTTTAGTCCGTGGAAATATAAAATGTAAGGGGAAAATACTGTCATGTTCGCGGAATATAACTATAATGGAAACTAACTAAACTATTAAATTTACAATGCAAAGTTTATCAGTTTATCATAACCTTCAAAAGAGGTGCAAAATCCATAAACATTCGACTTTTACACTTCAATATTGACCCCAAACAACAAGAAGCTTTATAATTATTCCAAACAAAAAACTTTCAATGATAAGAACCTCAGCTTGACAAGAAATAATCAAAATGAATGTTGGTAATCAAATGAATGGTTTTAAGGTGTTTTTTTTTTAATGAGAAAAATCGGTTCAAGCTTTGTCATCTTAGTCACCGGGTATGTGATTTCAAAAGGATCGGTTGTTTGGATGCTCGATGTTCTAATTCCCAATCAATGGCGCTTAAATAAAATTATCAAATTAAATATCCGCTACTTAGCACTATTTTGCAGCAAATAACAGTTTTTATGGTCAAAGGCCAGCTTTCCTAATTTTGTTCTCGGATTTTTTGGCAGTCAGGAAACAAAACAATCCTTCGTTCGCGAGGGATGTCAATGAAGCTAACATGGCCCCAACTAGTTTCATCGACATAAATGACAGAGACTTTACTGTACAAGTATATAGAAATTGAAAAACTACACAGTGTAGATATAGGAAATCACCAACTGCAAGAAAATCCACACCAAACCGGTGAGACATATTTGGCATTCATAATACTTTCTCGCCAGGAGATGTTCGCACAACGACGGTCAGACGCAAATGAAGCGTTATGAAACTTTTAACCCACAATGCTCCACGCGCCTTTGACAACCCTCCTCTGAGTAGCCGACATTTTCAGATCATGCAGGAAGTGATTAATCGTACGATTCATTTTCTAGATCTCGTAAACCGTTTGAACGAATTGGGCCAAAAGTCTGGCACTGGTAGATATCTAGTCTGTAGAGGTACGAAGTTTGGTTAGTTAGCCGTGAGGCGTTTGGCAGCCTTTATAATTCCTAGATTCAAACCAGTGACATCTCTACGAGTTATCGGCAGATTTACTCATTTTCTCCTGACACAATTTTTCAATGTATTGATTATTATTATTTTTATTGATGATTTTTTAATATTTTTTTAGAATTTGATTTGGATTTCTTTATAAGTAATTCATAATTGGTGTAACCTTGTAAGTTGTAATTACGTCTGGGGTGTATCAAATATTTCAAGTGTTAGTCAGGCCACCCATCAAACGGTTCGGCCGCCGCTTTGCGGTACACGATATCCCCGGCGGTACGTTGCAGCCCAGGGTACTAAAATTAGGATTTATTGTTGCGAAACATTTCGTACCTCAATATTTCTATACTTGAATTGCGAGTATCGACCATCAACGATATTTCTCCTATCCTATGAAGTAAAGAGTTTTGTGGCGTGTCTGATCCTCTCGGTACGTAATAAATGAATGTAGTCTCAGCTTGACTCGCGCTATAACTAACTGCTATTTTTTTTTTACCTCCTATTTCCTTTCCTTTGTATCATTCAGTTTAAAAACAGACCACCCTTCTATATCCTAAACAGCAACATGTTAAAAAAATTTTTTTTTTTGGTAAACGAGAATTGAAGACATTTGTACATGGGTATGTGTGTTCCTAAAAGATCTAGTTCCGGCATACTATATTTCGTCAATTTATCGATCAAATTACTTAATTCTGCCGACTCAATCACATAGCTCTCATCACTACAGGTTTTTCAATGTAGGAGGTTGTATCCGGATAAGGATCTCGCGATTTCGAATGCCGGCGCGATCGGGCTCGAATTTCTGTCTTTATCTCACCAAAAGAACGCACACCATTTTGAAATCGAGATCAGTGCCTCGATACATAATCTATTCAATATGCAGCCTTGCGTAGCAATTAAAAATAGGCAGAACACTATTTATTCTATTGTGGAGCATTGTTCGCACTTTGAATTCATATCTATAGTTTATGACACCATTCCACGTGAAGGGCTCTTCCCAGAGCTTCGCTCCAAGCGCACTACCACTGCATTCATTATTTACAACACTCAAATTACATGTTGATTTTTACGGAGGAAGGAAATCCGGAGAACCCTAAAAAAAACTCTCGGCAAGGGTGAGAACAACATATCAAACAAACCAACTCAATTCACAGATCGATCGCAAATTACACTGTGCTAGACAACCCATGTCATTACATGCCTCTGCACGTGTCGTCTCTCCATTCAAAAGTCTCTAGGGGAGTTTTGATTTAAAAATCTTCCACTCTTTCTGTATATGCCTATTTTGCTTCACATATCCGTTGTAAAAACAAATTGTATGATGTAAATTGATTTATTGGAAAAGTTTAATTTCCCTGATTTTGTGCAGTAACGCCTGCTATATTCATGGGTGGGTGGGGTGGGGTAGGGGGTGGAAAAAGGGTTGTGCCGCCTGTGACTACAATCATGCAAACAGAAGTGCTTGTGTGTTCAGTAGCCATCCCCTCAACAAAGTTCATTTTTCTTTGGTATTAAGGAAGGAAGGGAATAAGCAGATACTCTACTTGGAATATGGAATATGGAATATTTTAACCATTTTCGTTAAAATATAAATTACTAAGTGTAGACTTCTATCTATCTATCTTCTTTCTACAACTCAGTTTCTTTAAGTTATATACGTTATGGAAGACTTAAAGAAAGGAAAGCCAGAGAACTCTTGGCAAGGGACAGAACACCACATCAAACAAACTCTATTCACGTGCATTCTGCACTCTTTCTTCTTCTTCTCCATGTTTGGTTCGAGCGCTCCTAGTGGGAAGTAGACCAACATTGTACCATTATTCTAACTGATTATTTTTACCTATATAGATAGTTAAATAAGTCGAATTTGCATAAGACTAAAAGTTGTTATTGTAACGAGCATATACAGAGACTCTCGTTCAACGCGCTTTGAAGAATCTATAATTAGTATTCTATCGTGACTATTATTGCTTGCTAATCGAAAATCCACGTGTACCAGAAATCGTAAACTCAATGGGGGCATTACTCTAGAAACTCCTAGGACCCCTTTTAATTGTATCATTCCTGGGGTTTTACCCCCTAAAGATCCATCTCTAGATAAAATACTAAAGCAGCCTTTACTATTCGAAGTGTTCATATCGAATGTTCAGTTAGTCGTTAGTGTGGGGGTCAGTTCTGTTACGTCAAATATGCGCGCGCCGAGTCGCACTCGCTAAATCAATGGAGATGAACGGTGAATTCAGAGGACGCCCCAGAGAGAAGACAGAGAGGGGAACATGACTCGTTTCTCGTGCGGGAGATCTCTGACTGGTACAGTCTACATCTACCATACTCTCATAACGCCCCCCTCCCCCGCTCCCATTAATATACACAACATAATTTAACATATTTATACAAAGTCAATTTTAAGTCACCATTATTACATTAATCTTCATACCACTAAGTAAAGGAAACCTTTAAGAAGTTTGTTTTCTTAGCCTAATTAACAACATTATCTTGCGACTATACACCGAATGGAAATATGGCAACCATAATTTAAATGACTGATTATTGTTCAGCACTGACTAGAGACTGACTAGCCTCGTGTTCACGAAGAGACATAAAACCTTTTTCACGTGTATGAGAGGCCGTAGTCATTCGCTGGTCACTGCAGAACAATATGTGTTCTATTCAGTGTACATCAGCGAAAGAGTTGAAAATATAATAATTCGAAGGGGATTCTGGTAGTATGCAATTAGACCGAGGGACAGGGACTTGCAGTGAGCGATAATGTGTTTCTGGTTTCAGACCGTTTTGGTCGATGGGCGTAATAATGTCGTTCACATCAGTTCAAACCACGTTTCTCCGGTGAATTACGCATATTGTGCGCGCGACATAACATTAACAAAATATGTGAGAATTTGTAATCTTACCGCTAACAAAACCTCAGTTAACCAGAGAGATCCGCCGGAAGTTTATCCTATCGGCCTCCTTCGCTAATCCCCCTCCATTAATAGACCACAGGAACGTGGCCCATTACCACACCGTCGTCTCGTTATTTAGACATACAAGTAAAAATGTCCGCCGGATGTTTATACATTCAAGCTAATCCTCAACAAATAATGAGCCGGACGGAGATACATTGATAGTTATAGGTAGTGATGAAGATGGTAAAGAATTGACGTGACGAGGCCCCTTGCATGTGACGTCAAAGCAGCTCAATCTGGCGGGGGGAAAACAAAAGAATTCCAATATCCTGAGACGATTGAAGCCTATTGTTTTGTCCCCCAGATTGAGCTGCATTCCGACATGCTGCAAGGGTTCTATAGATAGAGAACCGTTTCGAGATTATATTTTGAATGCGAGGCATACGAAAAATACGAAAGGAATCACACGAAGGGGCTTGTTCCATTTCTTTGGTATTTTCCTGTTAGCCTTGCTAGCATCGAAGATAATTTTGAAATGTAACCTATAAACTGCATGTTCGATATATATTTATTAACGGGTTTGATGCCACGATTGTGCTAGAAATAGACTCCCTTCGGTTCTCGGGGGTTTGGCCCTAATCCAAGAAGACTGCTCGCGGTCTATGTATACCAGAAATAGTCGTGTAACGTAGAATTACACCATGGGGTTAAAAAAGTTTTGAAAACTGTTTTAGTAAATTCGAAATTTGTTTTATAGTTAACATGGTTTCTTCAATTTTGGGAGTGTTTCAAACCGCGTTAATTTTTCCTCAAGTGGAAACTAATTCAGCTAAGTTTATAGGAAATAATCATTATTGAATTTGGTCAGTGTGCTGACCATGAAAAATACTACGAGGCACTCTCAAGCCTTTTGTCACTAGCGACGCAAACCGACACAAGCATAAACACGAGCGCAAAACATTAATCATTCGTTCTCTTGCGCTTGCGTTGCTTCTTTTCATAGTAAGAGTCGCTTCTGCTTGCGTCGGCTTGCGCTAGTTAAGTGCGAATAGAGTTTACCGAGTTTACAGTAGGAGTAGGGTCCCCTCTTCTGCCCGCTTGGATAATTGTTGAAATACTAGGCGTGCGTAGTGACTGTTTCCCCCTATACAAACATGTATTATTTAACAAACATACAATCAAACAGTACTTTTTATTCTGCGATGAAAACGATAAAAAACGATACAATACTTTATATGATGACTTTTAGTTTCAGAGTTATTTGTGGACAATTTCCAGGATTTCACTTCCAGAGGTGATGGGTACTCATGTAACCCCCCTCCCCTTCAATCTTATCTAAATCTGTTTTCGTAAGATAACAATTGTTTTAAAATTAGATGATCCTTACTCTCATGAAAATGGAAATTTTTGTAGGAATGATGTCTCTGGAGTTTCCTTTGAAATTCCCCGTCATTTACTCCAGACAATTCGTTGCATAACCGACACAGAACTTCCCATAGGAAATATCTCAAAATCTGGTCGAGTTTTCGATAGCATTGTTCTCAACAAACTGTTTTCCTGTTACGGTGTACAATCTTATCAGATAAAATTCCTAAGTTTGATTTAGACAACAACAAAAATGCCACCAAAAATCTTTACACCAATCGTTGAAAATATGCCAACAATCATGAATAGTCCCAACTTCTTCGCGCATAGTCTAGTATTAATATTTTATTATAAGTCCAGGGAGGTTTAGCGTGGTGTGGTCTCGGGTTTGATTCCTGGACTCGGAATATCACATGTAAGTATCGTAGAAATTGCTGTGTCTCTCCCTTGATTCGAGGTTTTTTCTGTAGGTTCTCCGGTTTTCCGCCTTCTCCTTAAACATAACAAGGTAATTCCAATTCGGTCTGTAATAAGTCGTGCCCTGATTTTGATAACCCAGAGGTTTTCTTAGAATATGGATAAAATATCAAGGTTTTCAAATATAAAGGTAGACCTTAGGCAAGGAAACACCGGCATTCCTAAGCTTGGTTTGTGCAATGTCCCTTCATGAAAGAAAGAGACAGAGTTCTAACAATTCGTGCACAATAATTGACCTATTGAGAAGTCATCTTACATCGACCCCAATCTCGGAAACCTCTTCATTACCAGAAAAACCACAAAGTAGGACTCGTGGCTGCATGTAACGACATGAATTAAAGAAATGCGACATGTAACTTACTATTGAAAAGGTATTTCCTCGATAAGAGGAAACTAATAAATAATATAGCAATTAAGTGAATGACGGTAGCTTCCGGCTATGAAGTTGATCTGAAGTCCACTGCTTACTATCGATCGTCAATGTACGTGATGTACGATTACCCGCTTAACAATCCTTTCCACTCCATAATGCAGTGAGTTGTTTCAACGGTGTTAACGATGGGGTATAGCACGGCGCAGACTACATACACATAGACCTTCTCTGCTCGAGCGTAAAGTTTCCCATTTCAGACCACTTATCATTCCCTAGAGTATCGTTTCTTTGTTTAACAGTTTGCGCTCGGTTGAGCACGAGAAGACACATGAACATGGATACAACTCRAACAAAGAATCTTATTCTCAAAGGAATGACACTGGGAAAACATTTCGCACGAGCCGATGTCTATTGGCCACACTAAGAAAAAATCCACAAAAAAAGAATGTATTTCCATACATTTTAATTTGCTAAAATCATAATTTAAGAGAGTCAATAAAAAAAAGAGAGTCAAGAAAAACTGTTCCAACATATCATGATAGTATTGTCATGTATGACTCCACGACATCGATCGCTCTATATATCGCCTAGCTTCCTCGGTAAGTGGAATACCCAAATGGGCTCAGAAGTAGTGGTACATGATAGTGCTGAGAAGGGTCATTGATAATGAAAACGACCTGGAAAAGAAAACATGTAAATATAGTTACTACACTTGACAATCTCGTTAGGCCTTACTCACACGGCAGCCATGTATAAATGGAACAATAGAGTTTCCCACGCGTACTGGCTGGCATTCAAATGTATGAGAATGAATCAATGGAAGCTAAACTATAAGGTCTTTATTTTCTTGCAAGAATAAAGATGACTATTTGCCTCGAGAGGGGGTGCGAGAGTAAAGATGACTAAAGATGACGATGGCTAAATATGACGATGGCTAAAGATGACGATGGCTATAAGGTCTTTATTTTCTTGCAAGAATAAAGATGACTATCTGCCGTGTTAGTAAGGCCTATGAGTAAGAGAGTACCTAATTGCTTGAGCTTCCTTTGTTTTGATTGACATCGCTCGACGGCTTCAGGTAGTCGCCCGAGACAAATAAAATAACGTAGAAATGATGAGCCCCTAAAATTATGTGCCCTGCGTATGCTCTTGCATGTAGTTAACCATGCGCAGTAAAGAGGAAAATATGACGTTTCTTTTAATAGAAATAAAAGAACTAGATGCACTTATAAATACACTAACATGAAATTCGAATCTCTCTAAATGTTATCACAGCAGGGAAACTGGGATTTTGCTCGAACATAAGCTTTTGATACATTTAATAAATTTTAGATTTTGTGCAAATTCAGTACGAATACAAATTCCAAAATGTTACGTTCCAAGTTAAGTTTCCCCGTGCTTTTGTGAGAAATTATACGTTCTGCAATTTCTCTCACTCTTGCAACCCCTTTAAATAAAGCGAGCTGTGAGGCTAACAGGAAAGTATGTTAAAAAAATCACGTTCATCCTGGATGAGATTCGTCCCATTTCTTTAGCGCTTTCATCGCTTCAAAGATAATCTTCAAAGAATTGTCAGGGGCGGATCAAGGGGGTGTCGATCCCTAGGTACATCGCACATTCCCCAATCCACCTGGTTTTTGTTTTGGTACGTATATGTCTTCATTTTATTTATGAGTTGTTTCCTTAATTTTTAGTCCAACTCAAGATTAAATCGTATAAGATTAAAGCTAAAAATAAATTTAAGGAAGGCGGGAATGAAGGCGGGAAGGAAGGCGCAAGGAAGGCGGGATGGAAGGCGGGATGGATGAAGGGAAGGAAGAAGAGAGGGAAGGAAGGCGGGAAGGAAGAAGGGATGGAAGGCGGGAAGGAAGAAGGGATGGAAGGCGGGAAGGAAGAAGGGATGGAAGGAGGGAAGGAAGGCGGGAAGGAAGAAGGGATGGAAGGCAGGAAGATAACGAACGAACAAATCAATAAGGAAAGGAAGATCTGCTACTTCACCTCCCTTTACCTCTGAAACACTTATTCGTCTAATAGATAGACTACAACTTACTTAGAAGCAAGAGGTTTCCATGTACTGGTGCCATTTTGTACCACTTCATAAAGACTTTGATTGGTAATTGTCTCGCGGGAATCCCGGCAGAAGTGTCCAGAACATGTGTGGTCAACGGACTACCGGCATTCTTTTTTGGTGCTTTTCGAGAAACAGTACAGAATTTAATTATAAGGTTCCATTTGCATGAATGTAGGATAATTTTGGTGCTAGGGACAGGTTTGCCATTCAATTGCGCTTTCCTCAGGGGACAACAAAAATAAAGGGGTTTGCGCTTTGGGTTGCCCTATACCTTCATACGATTCGAACGAAGCCGTTTACTCCCATTTTTATTTGCTCATTTTCAGTTATTCTAGCATGATGTACTTTCATCATGCAAAATTTGAAGAAAAATTGACGATGAGATCTTTTGCCAATCTTCGCCCTTAAAGCTTAAAATCTGACAGAATTGTCATCATTTGCCTCAGTATAGTGGCGATCAATGTGCGTAAGTCTTGCGGGACACTAAGTTTTCAAAGAAGCCGCCGTCCTGCCTCGGACCAGGCCTTTTTACGAACAAAAAAATGCATATTTGAAATATAATAGTCTACTCGCATAAAGCTTCATTTAGTGTGGCTAGTGGAGTCATTTGTAGTAACCTTTCAAAGATGAATAAATCCTCATAATCCACGTGCAGTTCTATGGACAGGTGTTTACAGCATCTCACAGGATTTCTATCATCCTGGATCCGCTTGCAAGTCAAACAGAATGTTTGTTGGTCTCATTACATTTGTCACAATAGCCTCGGACAAGCGCTTGGACAAGATATCTCTCAAATATTTAGGATATCATCGATATTTCTCACACGAACACATGCGTGTTGCTTTCCTGCTAGCAGAATGACCCTGGTTGGCGATTCGTGGCAGAGAGTTTTCTCTGCTAGGAATCGCCAGCGAGGAAGACTCTGCTAGCAGGGAAACGTGTTGGCAGTATTTCAGATGTTATGCAACGGGAAAAAAACGTCTAGAAAATGTTTTCTAAAACATATGCAAGATAAACTAGTTAGCAAGTCTTACCTTTCCTTTACAAGCAGTAGATGTGAGAGAAATACCGATCAATATGACCACTTATAAACTAACCCCTTTCATCTCAATCTATTTTCGCAGACCATATACGAGAATGCTGCTAGTTCAGTTCAAAGACAAGTAATATCAAAGGCTAAAATATAGAAGGGCTATTGAATACCAAAGAATGACGTCAACGATGCAACGTCATTAGTTGATCAAAGCCCTCGAGTCGACTTTCTAGAAGTGTATGAGAAGAAAACATTGTTTAGTGACCTAGTGGCTGCATGTACGAGTGCTTTTCCACAGATGACATCCAAACCTATCAGTCGTTATATTTCGAAATCGTTTGTTAAATGTGGACGTCAATATGCAATAGGCATAATGAAATCAGTACTACCATTATGTGTAGAGACCTCGAAATTATTTGTTAAAATCCGATATTAAGGTTCATTTTTAAATATAGAGGTCAAAAAGGCATTCTGAACTCTGCAAATATTATGTTTGCGTATCAGTTTGTATTGTGTGTAGAATCATCGAAATTAATTGTTATAATTTCTTGCGTTCTGATTGGCTCTTTTGGCAGGGTCAGTGCGGTCGAAATTTGTCGCGCGACTCTGGTTTTCCGCTTATTTATATACTAAATAAGAAAAAAATAGACTAGGGAATGATATATACTATAAGTACTCAGTCTTTAATACTTACATGAGGTATTTACTTTTCCCCCGTTTTTCAACTCAGTGTTTCAGATTTTTAGAACAATGGTTTGTATTAATAACAATACGTTGCTGGCTTTCACTCAGCTAATAAAAGTTATTAAATCTTATTATCTGCTCCACATAGTAGTCAAACACTGACCACCATGTGCTTTCAGCCAGAAAGAATTCTATTGAAAACTTGTGATTCACCTGATGAACATTCCGCACGAGTCAGGAAATGACGTCAAGTGAAAGCCAGCAATAGCCCTTGAAAGAAACGGGGTTGGGAAACGCCCCTTTGGGCAGCATGAACAATTATTGTAGTACCAAGTAAAAAGCAATAAGCCCTTCTAAATATTGTCTTGAACGCAAGGGTAACCTCGAATTAAAAAAATATATATCACAAATTCCATCGAGAAAAATTGTGATTTTTTCATGTAGCCTCGCATCCACGACACTTTTTAGAGGGGTCCATTACCTGTCTGAAACTTATACTACTCAGGCTTTTAATCCCTTCTTCTCAGAGCCTTCTTCTTAAATATACTTCAAGATACTTAGATCAAGGGCGGATCCATGGGGGGCAAAGCTGGGCTTTAGCCCCCCTTCAGCAGAAAAAAAAACCACAAAATAACAACACTGAAGAACTAGATACTTTTTTTTTATTGTTTTCCGTTGTGTTGACGGACGAGACTCAATTAGTCCCCCCCCCCCCCCCCCCCCCCCTAAAATTTTGGCTGGATCCGCCCTTGTAAATGAATATATAACTTTGATATGACTTCGTGCTGGTATATTCTGCTACGCAGCACGCCCAACTGTGGGTAGTGAAAGATGCGTGACGACGATAATACTGGTATCGATTGTATACAGAACATAAAGTATCATAAAAGGGGTGTGGCCTTTCAGATATCTGAAATAACATGCGATCTCCTGTTGCACTAAGCTAATCTATGAATTGTGATTCAAATTCTAGACTTAAAAAATACCTATTTTATTAGTTATTCTAGGAAAATTAAGAATTGAATTGAAAGGTCCCAAATGAGTTCTAAAGTCCTAAATAGATACTATTTATTAATAAAGAGCCTTTTTGCGCACTTTGCTCACGGGCTTATAGTATACAAGTTAATCATAAAAATAACACTGTGACCAAAGTATATTAGGTTGGRGCTGTCCCCATAACCCCCTTTTCTACTTGTAAATGTTCACATCAAGAATCCAGTCCCGYAGCAAGAGGAGGGGCTRGRGGCCAATGTTTTTTRCATAACAKCARCACCAACATAATCAGTCACACAACCGCAAAATGACAATGATATTTTTGGTCATACATGTATATCCAGACCTTGCTACGGGCCTGAAATCCCCCCAAAAGCGAAAGAATCCGGCACCCATGGAATTTGGCCGTCTTTTTGTTCAGATCCAGATAACAGATGCGCAACCAGGGGTGCTTACCATTTACCCAAAAGCAAAAACGAGAAATTCCGGTTGGAAAACAAATAATTTTTATTCCGAACAGAAAGTTACGRAAAACTCGGTCTTCCGATTGGAGTAATTCACTTTTCTATCTCTTTTCGTTCTTTCACTAGACGCATGCATTTACCTCAAGTCAAAGTTTCCCGCTCTTTTACTCTATTAGCAAACGAATTTCAAACCGGAAGGATTGCTTTAAATAATAGGCACCCCAGGTTCTGTTGCATGTTAAGAGGCAATGTCCACAAGAATCGAACAAATTCAAGAATTCGTGGCAAGGGTCAAAAAATCAAATTCGCTCTTCTTTTGAAGTTAGATAGGCCATTATTRGATATGAATCCCTGGGTAGTTGGTTTTCGAAAATACTATTTCATTTTCGAGAAAACGGCCACAGAAGAGGTTCGATCGAAGTCCGAGCAAGAGACGCTAAAGAGGAGTGAAAATGGACAAATTTTGAACAGAGCGCGGGTAAAAAATCTATGACATGCATATATTCTTAATGTAATACCCTTTTTCGTGATTTATGCATATAAACTAACTGTTGAAACCGCTTTTTTATCGACCCAAAACTTATTCGATCAAAACGAGATTATAAATCTATTTAAAGAACGTTTCTATCGTAATTTTTAGCGTGAATTTTACAGTAATCAAACTTCTGAACGTAAAGTGGAACCTCGGTCAYGCAATCACCAAAGATMGMGTTTTTTGCTCATATACCGACAATCTCAAAACCTTTCCAATGGAGCTTAAATTTACCAAACCACATTGAACTTTCAAACAACGGCACGAACATTAATTTCTTAGTTTTCAGGGTAAATTCCATCATAGTCCTGCGTTGTTTCGGGAAGCGTGATTTTCGTATGTATTTCAACAAAATTCAACAGATTTCTATGCAGTCAGAATTAATTTCCTGAAATCAATCTTTAAAGTTTTGAAAAGGTCTATTCTTCCTCAACTTGCAACATGAATATTATTTCAATCAGAGAACTTGCCCATAGTTAAATCTTTTTTTCTTTTGAATTAATTAGCATATGTATGCACAGGCCTCCTATTTCCCCTCGCCAAAATATCGTCCCTTTCCAAATAAGCTTGAAATCCAGTCCAATGAACGAAAAAGGGTGGTACATTAAGAAAAAAGTTCAAAAATTGTCATAGATGGTTTATTTTCACTCCTCTTGAGCGTCTCTTGCTTGGGCTTCGGTCGAACCGCTTCTATGGCCGTTTTCTCGAAAATGAAATAATATTTTCGAAAACCAACTACCAAGTGACTCATATCTAATAATGGCATATCTAACTTCAAAAGATAGGCGAATTTGATTTCTTGACCCTTGCCACCGTTTGTTCGATTCTTGTGGACATTGCCTCTTAATTTTCTGAGGAAATCCTTTGAATCACATGGGGCGATAAAGTACATAATAAATATATGAGATCGTGACAAATGTTTCAGTTTCTATCTATCCTTCCTTACCATAAAGTTCATTAAAAAATCTACAGAAATCTAAAGAATTTCTTGATTCCTTTCCTGTCCTTGTGCAATTGATGGAACTCGCTTGTCGTCAAAGCCTTGTAAACTTCGATAACCAATTTTGGGAAATAATCATTTAGAACAAAATCATCTTCCCACAATTCTTGAWTGTTTTTTGGCTGTTCATTAATGTGTTCGTAGGCATTACGAATGAAGCGAATTAATCCAGCAACGGTCTTGTRGTCGTAAAATCTTTTTATTTTCATTCCAGCATAAGTAGCCGACATGTTGTCATATGGTGGCGAATCATACCATGTTATACCTCTGGATACAATGACATTGAATCGCCCCTGTAGTTCACTCTCAAACGCAAGCATAGGATGTGGTCTATTGTTCATTGCAATCTCTGGCTCATTTCCTACARCATGAAGGAACCTCTTCTTTGTTTCGTTATCCCAGAAGAAAGGATGAACCAACGCATCGGCTGCAGAGGGCCGATGTCTGGGATCACTGTCAAGCATCAGATGTACAAGATGAGTAGCTTCAGGAGTGAGGGAATCATCGATCTTTAAAATATTACCATTCCTAATATTTTGGTGTGTTTCGCTGAGGATTTCCTGTGGTGTTTTCGTTGCGGAGTCTGCAGGAGCGAATGGATGTTTTTTGCCTGACAGAAGATAGTGAAGCACGAGCCCACAGGAAAACATATCAGACTGCTTGGAAAAGGGAATTCCATCTTTCAAGACTTCTGATGCAACCCATCCTATTATTAAGCTATTTGTCTTGCAGTTTCCAATCTTAAGGCATAAGCTTGGTTTAGCTTGGTAAAACACGGTTCTTGGATTGATATTGCCATGAACTATACCTTGAGATTGTAAAAACTCCAAGCCCATTAATAAGTCTTTGCAAAGCTTGGTGGAATCGCCTGCGCTACTGGCCATATCAAGGTAATGCTCGAGATTCCCTTCCATCAATTCAAAAGTAATATAATGAAAGTTTCCCTCTTCTAAGCAACGGTAATCACGAACAATCTGCTTGCATTGCGCTGATGGCACAAGAACACTTTCCGAACATTTCGTGTTTGACATAGGTATGCGCTTGACAGCTACTTCTCTTCCTTCCTTGTCGATGCCAGCAAAGACAAAACCGCCTGATCCCTTTTCTTCGTCTAAAGCCTCTTGGTGTAAATATATACTTCCGACTTGTCGACATTTGACCATTCTTGCAACCAGTGACAGTTTCTGGGCGTGAATCTGGGAAGACTGTGTCCAGTCAAGAACTAAAGGAAGTKCACTGTGGTCCACTGAAGCTGATAGTAGATCTTTGAGAACAGGACAATTATCTGACAAAGCAAGACAGGATTCGCCAGCTTCTCCAGAAGCGTTGATATCAGCTCCACACAACAGAAGATACTGGACAATCTTCCAATGCACAGACGTTTCAACACTGCTATCTGGTAACTCTAGAATGTTCCTACAGCTGAAATGAAGGGCTGTGTCATTGCTGCCCCTCAGAGTACTGTGTGCGAGACTTCTCCTTGAATTTACCAATAACTTTACTAGGTCCAATTTCCAGTGGTTTTCGCTCGATTGGTCTTTACAGACAGCATTCAGGAGAGGAATACCAATTGTGTCTATCTGTGATACTAGGTCACAGGCAATTTCAACTAAGGCTTTGGCAAGGCAGTTAGCTTCTTTTTTTATTAGAATGCTGAGAACTGAATTTCCCTCCTTGTCAGCAGTCCATGGATCAAGTTTTTTTTTGAGTACTTCTAGCCAGAACTCCTTGGCCCGGATTTGATCAACATCAGGATAGAAATGTTCTGAATCATTCTCGAGGCATGTGTTCCTCTTCGCAGCAGCAAGAAGAGGTGAGCATCCTGATGAATCTTTTACATCTGGCTGTGCTCCAGCATCTAACAAGAGCTTGACAGCTGTCCAGGTTCTGCACATGTGTAGAGGTGTCTGTTTGTTTTCATTGATATCATCCAGTATCACTCCACACTCGAGAAGCAAATCAAGGATCTCTTTTAATAGGTTTTCAAAACTGTAGCCATCACACACATTTTCATTGTAAAGATCGGATGGCTTGAGAGCCAGTGATGCCAAAAGGTGAAGCGGGGAGTCTTGATGATTATCTCTTTTGCGAACAGCAGTTTGTTTTTGGTCGGTTATAGTAAACCCTGACAATATTTCAAACATTTCTTCAAAAATACGACGTTTTTGGCGCTTATCTTGTAAAAGAATGGCGTATTGGAAAATTTTGATAATCAGATGAAATGCAGATTCTTCTTTATGATTTGTGTCACGCAACTTTGACCCATTTTCCATAAGAACTTCGCAAACCTTCTGCAGACATCCGGACCAATTACGTGCTGCCCTGGACGCCATCAGATGTTTGGATGACAAGCAAAACAAAAGCGGTGTCTCCTCCTTGTGATTTTTCGCGTCCAATTTTGCATCGTGTTCTATGAGCACACGACAAAGCTTAGTCACTGTTTCTTCAGGCACACCATAGAACAGCAATTGGGTTGCATAGTGAAGACAAGTGTTTCCTTCCGAATCTGGAGCTGAAGATTCTGCGCCAAGGTCGTAAAAGGTTTGGAGCACATCAGATACAGCAAAGTCGTCTGGAGTAACGCGTTCTTGCATACTTTGAAGCTGGCTAATTAGGCTGTTTCTGTTATCAGCGTGTGTGTCATCGTTTGTGTGACTCAAAACCAACTTGAGGATTTCGCACAGTTTGTCGGGGTTAATATAATTACTATGTGGATTCGACGCATGTTGCATAGTACCAAGAACTTGGATAAACTTGCACAAAATCAAGTTTACAACTTGTTTGGCCATCTGATCTCGATTTAATTTCTCAGAAAAAAGCTTTATTCCTTCATATTTGACATCGGCTGGCAAATGGTTTTTTATCATATAATCTGTAAAAAATGTTAGGACACTTACACGGCGATCGTCTGTTTTAGTCACCGAGGCACCATTGTCAAGGAGCTTCTTCGCCGAGTCCAAGGAGCTTATAAAGGCATAAAATAAAGGGGTTCTTCCGCGAGCATCTCTTACATTGACATCGACACCACTCTTGATCAGAACATCTACAATCTCTAAACAGGAAATCCCATAGAATAACAAATTCTTTTTCTTGGGATATGTAGAATGTTTTTCTTTTAGTAAACCATCGACACATTGAGGGTCTTTCGCAAGGCAAGCAAGATGCAGTTTCATATCAACAGGAATTTGACTTGCTTCATTCATAAATGTGGAAGCGCATTCTTTAAGCGTTTCGACATTCCAATTTGAAATATCAACTTCGAGGTCAGGACTCATCGAGCATTTTATGCAAATCGTATTATTATAGTTAGTAAAGCATGTCGAGATGAAGCGCTCAGACGCCAACCGTGTGAAAAATAGAAGCTGGGTTTCTTTATTACAGTGTGTAATGTCTATGCTTTCCAAATCTGACTGAAATATTATTTCCCTCAAGGTGCATAAGCAATCTTCTCCCAAAAGATTTTTGAGGGCATTCGGAGACAGCGTGACGTTGGGCAGCGAGATTAATGTGTGCCTTATGTTGCAGTCATTATGCAGAGTAGCTAGATCAACATCAAAGATAGACATGACCATTAATTGATTTCACAGCACTTCGTTGCTTCAGATAAATTGCAGTGGATCTAATTCATCTTTTTTTGCTAAGATTAAATATAACTTGTGTGTACTTATCTCTTGTAGTCTTCCAAGGGACAGAGCACGACGATGAATGCCAAACACAGCAAACAGGAAGCACTCCACTTTCAGCCTGGTATTCAGGTGCATTTACGCAGGGTTTGACAATATTTCCGACGATCTAGCAAAGTCGTAGGAAGTCACAAAGACGAGGTACTTCATTATGAGCAAACAGATGTTCAAAACGGCATGAAAATTATGAAATTATATGGCGCCGTTCTTAGGAAGCAAACGAAAACAACGCCAAAGTGAAAGTAATCGCTTCTTCCTCACTTCAGTCTTACGCGATCAATTCGAAGGAACGCCTGGCATGGTTGTACTTTTCGTGGTGTGAAAGTCCCGGAAAAGTTTAGAATTTACGAGTTTTTAATTTTGCACCAACTCTTTCCAGATAGATTCATTGGTTATTCAAGTAAAGAAAAACTTACTAACACTCGATCACAAAATCCAAGCCATGGCCGGAAATTCCGAATCACTATAGGAGGAGCTTAGTACGTCATCAAGTTACTAACGTCAATCATTATATTTTGATATCTGTATTCTTATTGGCTCAATTACTTTTCTCGATTTGCAATTTTCAAAATGGCAAAGGGAAAAATAGGAGAAAAATGTTTCTATATAGAGTGCAAACAATATATCCGTGAAAAACTAATTACTAAATTGTTCAAAATAGTGCTAGTTGAACAAAAGAAAACAATATAATTAGCATAAAATAGTGTAAGTTAGTATTAATAATATTTCACGTATACACCTATTTGAAAAACGTTGTCGTGTTCAAAAAAAGGTTATATCATCAAAGCTAAGACCGAAGGGGAGCATGGGAAGACAAACAATTTTGCTAATTTCATGCGTTTTTCAGTTTTCCCTTCCTGTGCACATCTCATGTATCATGGATTTGGCATGTTGTTAATCTAGGTCGACCGACTTTGCTCTACTTTGCATTTTTCTTGTCTATATGCAAATATAATACACATTTCGGAGTACCCAAAATCCTTTTCGGTCTTAGCTTCTTTGATATGACCTTCTCGAACCCGACTACGTTTTTTCAATTAGGTGTATATTGTTTGCACTCTAGCGTGCTAAACAGTTTACCAACAAAAAATATATTGCCGCTAGTAAAATAAGAACGGAAGTGAAAAAATTATGAGGTAAAGAGACTGATAAGTTGCGGATAAATCACGGAAGACTCTGGTAGCACATAGCCTGCGTATAATTTATACCGGCTGAACGCAGGCTAGTAACACACAAATCGATCGTTAATTTGATTGCTTTAATTTTTTGTATAATCATCTGTTTCCAGTTCTCTAATTTTTACACAGGTAGCCCAAGCTTGGTTTCTGTGGTGTCATGTTATAAGGAAATGTATGGGATTCATCAAAAATTTCAATAGAATCATTAAAACGTGAAGTAAAGCCTCGAAATTTTATCCGATCATTGAGAAATAGCACTTCTTTCGCTCTGCGTGGTTATTTTTTTGAATTTAGCCCTTTTTAAGATTTTTTCTTACTGGTGGAGAAGAACCTGGAAACTTATCAATAAAACTTTCCTTCTTTACGCCATTTCTATCCTACTCAATTGTTCAAGGCGTTCTTGCATATGGCAGATACCAGCCTGGTAACGAAAGAGCGAAAACCGGGTAAAATTCGCGCGAAATGCGATTTGCAACTTTCCAAAAACCGAATGTCCGATTGTTCTAAATCTCAAAGCTCTTGGTTATCTTTCGCAGATCAATCGAATCAAGAGAAAATGTACTTCTTAGTTCATATTCTTGAAAAGGCGTAAAGAAGGAAAGTTTTAATGAAGTTTTCAGGTTCTCTTTTTCGTTGTCAGAAAGCTGAAGCTTAATAAAAGTGCTAATAAAAGATAGCTTTAGTTGAGGATTGTAAAACCGAAAGAAATCTTTTGATTTTTGGAGTAATATTTGGAGAAAATGTGGACAAGACCCCCGGGGGGGGAGGGTACTACCACCCCAACTTGGGTAGGGGTGTGCCGCCAGGACCTCAAAACCCTGACCCTATCCCAGACCTAAAATTTTGATTTTACATACCCTACCCTAGACTAAAACTAAGAATTGTACAACCTATCCCAGACTAAAAGACGGAAAATACGGTTTTACGATCGATTGCAATCAATATTTACTAACATTTTTGTGGCTACTGCCTCCTGTTTTTGTGTCGGCAGAAAGCGTAGCCTATTCGTCAGACAAAAACGACCAAATCGTTAACCCTATCATAGACTAAAATGACACCCTAGCCCAGACAAAATGTCAAAAAATTATACCCTACCCCAGACCCAAAAGCCGAAAAACCATACCCTAATAGGGCGGCACATACCCGTATAGTAAATATAGGAGAGTACCCCCCCCCCCCTGGGGACAAGATACTGAACTGTCAGTCGGGAATGACATGCATACGCGTACAAAGGGATTTACTTAGCACAAAATCAATAAAATAATACTCTTCGATGGACAAAGGTTTGTGCCAAATGACATGCATATGAGAAGTTTAAGATCTTGAGCATCGAGAAAAAACTGCAAAACCTGTGAGTACCTACATATTTTCTGTATTTATTCATAAGCTTGTCTTTCAAGTTCTAGTAGACCTACTGCGCAGTACCATTCGGAATTTCTGGCCATGATGATTTGGAAATAAAAAGCTTTGAAAATAGCATTATTCTTTTAAAAGTAGTATTTAAAAGCAGATTTCATATTTTAAAACCATGTCTCCATTTTTCACAGTTAAACCTCGAGGTAACATTTCCAATTCTGGCACTCATTTAGTATCAACAATAACTACAACAACAACTTTATTTGTACATGAATACAATATTTACAATATTCTAGTAAACTCGTCATATACAGTTGTAAATAAAAATTTTAGGTGGTGACTGGATAGTTTGGAGGTAGTTATTTAATTTCTTTCTCCATAGTTTAAATATGGCACAAGTTCGATCTGTGGTACTTTGTATCCGAAGTGAATTCCCAATCCATTCTCAAGGTTGGGACTAGCTTAGAAATATAAAATCCCCATTCCACTCCTATGTTTTTGAAATGTACAAGGAAACAAAACATTCCCATTTGTTTTCTCAGCCGCTGTTGTCATTTTTTCCCCTTCACTAACAACTGTTCCCTGTGGATCTCTAACCTCTTCAATGACACAATAACTAAAAGTGGAGCCTCCAATAGTAACAGGAAGCCCAATTTAGATAAAACTGTAAGATGAAAATAACATTGGGGAGGGGGGGGAGGGTGTTCAAATATTAATATTAATATTTTAAATTCGAGATGAACATAATGTCCCCCAAAATGAAAAATGCCTTGAAAACTGGTTAAAAAGAGGTGAGCAAAATATAAGCTTTTACATAACTCTAATAGCCGGTCACAATACTA